TACTCCTATATTTAAAAAAAAAAAAGATAGGAGTATATGGCTCCTAAGCCCCTTCTGGATCCTCAGGATCAGATTTGGCTTCAATAGGATCTAGCCTCACTTCTGATGCACACATGTGTGCCCAAATTGATGTACACATGTGTGCCCAGATACACATACATACCCTCTGTAACAGGTGGAACCAGCAGCATGAGAACCTGGAGAAGCTGAACATGCAAGCCATCCTTGATGCTACTGTCAGCCAAGGCGAGCCCATCCAGGAGCTGCTAGTCACCCATGGGAAGGTACCCCAAGGTCACAGACAGTATTCCTGCCTTCCCTCCCACAATACCCACTACACCCCTCGGGAACACATGGATGCCTGCTCTTCCCTCTGGCCTGGTATAACTGTTCTCCCTGAAGGGGAAAGAGGAATGTGTTGCATTTCCTTTTGTCCCCCAATTAGACAAGACCCAGGCATGCCAGACCTGTGTTAGGACATGGATTGATTAGGGGGAAAGTCATGGACACTAGAACAGCTTAGGCTGTAGGGGGGAGACCCAAGTGTTAAAGTCACCCTGAACTGCAATAAGACCAGAGGAGGACTCCCCCTGAAGTGGTAGTGGTGCCTTGACTTGAAAGGAAACAGCCTTTCCAACATGAGGGTTGGGGAGTTAGAAAAAAGGGAGATGACCTGAGATATCACTTGACAAAAGATTTCTCCACAAGAAAAAGGCAGAGCACACTATTAGGGGATGGGGCAGAAATAGGGCACTGTAAAGGGCCTTGAGTAAGAATGAGACTTAGGCATACAAGAGCCTTGGAGGGTCAGAGGACAAGGACAAGAAGGGAGGGCATGAGCAGGAGGGCTAGCCTAAAAGAGATAGGGAGGAGGGGATAAGAGTGCAGGTGCAGAGAGGCAAGGCAGTTGGGACAGAGCAAGGGCTAGTCACAGGTAGCAGGGGAGTGTCCCCATAGATGTTGGAACATCTGGAATTAAAGGTCTAAGATGCAGGAGAAAAGTCAGGAAGGGTACTTGTAGGGCCTGGGAGAGTCTAGAGACCTGGGGAAGTTTGAAAGATGAGCTAACAGAGCCAGGGATGGGAGGGTTGCTAGGCAAAGAAGGTTCACCTCATTCCTGTCCTTTCCCCATGCTTCAAAGATCCCGACACTGGTGGAAGAGCTAATTGCAGTGGAGATGTGGAAGCAGAAGGTATTCCCTGTGCTATGCAAAGTGGAGGACTTCAAGCCCCAGAACACTTTCCCCATATACATGGTGGTGAGTTGGGTCCCTGGCGCACACCTCATCCCTTTAGAGCAGAGAGCCATGGCCCAGGGAAGACAGAATGCCTGGGTAGTCCCTATGCCTATCTTGCAGCCCAGGCCCTGTCCTCCCCTTTTTTTGATAGGTACACCATGAGGCCTCCATTATCAACCTCCTAGAGACTGTGTTCTTCCACAAGGTAAGGCACTATTCCTGCCCAGGGGCCACTGCTCTGGGCAGGTCTTATTTGATTGTGTCTATGTGGAGAGGACATCAGAGACAGAAAGTTTCCTCTCCTCCTTTCCCTCAGGAGGTATGTGAGTCAGCAGAAGACACCATCTTGGACCTGGTGGATTATTGCCATCGCAAACTGACACTGCTGGTGGCCCAAACTGGCCGTGGTGGCCCCCATGAGGAAGAAGGGCCCCAGGATGGTACCCCTATGCAGGTGGACTGAGGTTTCCTGGGGTTGGCAAAGCCTAGATGTGGGTTTCCCAAGGCCTGTGCAGCAGGGGGTGGTCTAGCTTGAACACTGTGTGCCCGCAGGAGCTGCAGAAGCAGGCAGAACTAATGGAATTTGAGATCTCACTGAAGGCTCTCTCAGTGTTGCGCTACATCACAGATTGTGTAGACAGGTAGGCAGTCCTCCCAAGTCTGGGGCCTACAGTAGAGGGACAGAATACTGTGCCTATAGCCTCTGCTCACCTCCCTGCCTGCCACCCCCACCCCTAGCCTTTCACTGAGCATCCTGAGCCGCATGCTCAGCACCCACAACCTACCCTGTCTCCTGGTGGAACTACTGGAACACAGTCCCTGGAGCCGGCGGGAAGGAAGTAAGATCTTCCCCCCACACCTACCTAAGCCCCAGCCCATTGCTACTAGAACATCCTTCAGATTAAAGTGGGAAACCTGCAGTTCAAACCCTACCCTACCCCCAGCCCACAGAGTTTACCAGAATGCTTCACCCAAGATGGGATGAGACCTTGGCTTTGCAGCAGGCAAGGCTCATGAGTCCACTACCGAGCATTCATCCTGCTCTGGGGCCAGCAAAACCACAACCTAGACAAGTCCTGTGGCCCTCCCACCTTGCCCAGCCTGTGGGAAGTTCCACAGTACATACAGCTGGCTTGATCAAAGATGGCTACATCCAGTGTGCTGGGTCTTCTCCCTAGGCAAGCTGCAAAGATTCGAGGGTGGTCATTGGCAGACAGTAACCCCCCCAGAGCAGCAAAAGCTGAGCAAGTTGGATGGGCAAGTGTGGATCGCCCTGTACAACCTGTTGCTAAGCCCCGAGGCCCGGGCCCGCTACTGCCTCACAAGCTTTGCTAAGGGACAGCTACTCAAGGTGGGGAGCTCCCCTCGACTAGTCCCCACAGCCCAGCACTTGTTCCACTTCATCCCACCCCTACTGAATCCCTGCTGGTCACCTTTGCCCATCTTCTTCCACCCTAGTCCACCTTTCATAATTTGAGCTTCAGGTGACCTGGTGGAACAGGTACCCTTAGCCCCACAGGTACCCTTAGTCCACTTTCCCTGCTCCTTTGGCCAGCACCCATTTCACACTGGCTTTCCCTGGATATTCTTGCAGCTTCGGGCCTTCCTGACAGACACACTACTTGACCAGTTGCCCAACCTGGCAGACCTGCAAAGTTTTCTGGCCCACCTGGCCCTGGTTGAAACCCAGGCCCCTAAGAAGGAACTGGTATTGGAACAGGTAGGCATCTGGAAAGTTAATCACTCAGGACCACTGTCCACTTTGCCAGCTTCTTCCTGTCCCTTCTATTACTCTCCCCTAGATCCCAGAAATCTGGGAGCGGCTAGAGCAAGAGAATAGAGGCAAATGGCAGGCAATTGCCAAGCATCAGCTTCGGCATGTGTTCAACCCCTCTGAGCAGGACCTTAGGCTACAGGCTCGAAGGTAAGTACATCTGAGCTGGCAAAGGGGGTGGATGGAAATCAGGAGGCATGGACTGGGCAAGGGTGTTTCTGTGTTCCAACCTGTCAAACCCAGTGAGGGCTGCTTGACTGCTCCACTAGGTGGGCTGAGACCTACAGACTGGATGTGCTAGAAGCAGTGGCTCCAGAGAGGCCCCGCTGCGCCTACTGCAATGCAGAGGCCTCCAAGCGCTGCTCGAGATGCCAGAATGAGTGGTATTGCTGCAGGTGAGGGTATCCTAGGATGACCTTAATCCCCTAAACCCCACTCCCAGATCCTCACCCCAGCACTGCCATCCTCACCTGGCCCACCTGCCTGCAGGGAGTGCCAAGTCAAGCACTGGGAGAAGCATGGGAAGGCTTGTGTCCTGGCAGCCCAGGGTGGCAAAGCTAAGTGAGGGCTGCAGCCGCTGAGGGCCGTCCAATACAACCCAACCCGAATGCACCCCTGAACCTCAGGATCTCTGTCTGGCCTCTACCCCTCTACTGGACCCCAATCTCCCTGGTGGTGAGCACAGCCAGTCAAGTAGAGCTGCTGAGCTACCCCCACATCCCACAGATGAAGGCTCCCCACTTCCTGCCCCACCCAGCAGATAGGCGGAGGGCGAGGGGAGGATGCAGTCTCAGAAAACTGGGGCAGGCGGCCTGGGTGGGGTGGGGGTGGGGCTGTGGGAGAGGGCCGGATGTGGGGACCCTCTTCCTCTAGCACAGTAAAGTTAACCCCCAGAAACATTCCTGTCTCCGTGTGGCACTTTTCGGTCGTCGTCGTCTGGGCGTGCGGAAATGGAGGATAAAAGGAAAGGGAGGGAAAGGGTTCTTCGAGAAAGTCCCTCCATCCAGCTCCGCCTGCAGGCCAACACTGTCAGCTCTAACAGGTTTCTATTTGGCCGCTCTCCCCGCTCTTTCCCTCTGCCCTGCCTGGATCCTGGGGGCGGTGCCGAAGTCGAGGCCCGCCCTGCGGCCCCTCCCGCCCCGCTCTAGCTAGCGCCCAGAGCCGGCTGAAACCTGGGTCCGACTGGGCCATGTCGGCGAAGCCAGAGCTCATTGAGCTGCAAGAGCTCGCATCCTCTGGGCGCATCAGCCCAGGCCGCACCCGCCTGGAGCGTGCCAATGCGCTGCGCATCTCGCCCGGCACTACGCGCAACCCAGCACAGGTCCTGGGCCGTGGCCACCGCTTCCAGCCCGCAGGGCCCGCCACGCACACGTGGTGCGACCTCTGCGGCGACTTCATCTGGGGCGTCGTGCGCAAGGGCCTCCAGTGCGCGTGTGAGTAGCGGCTCCGCACGCCAGCGAGAGCCAAACGGGCGGCCAAGGGGCAGTGCCATAGCTGCGGGTCAAGTCATGGTAAAGGAAGTCTGTAGGGACCACCCCGGGACCAGGTACCTTACCTTGCCCCATCGTAGAAAAGAGTGCAGGAAGATGGTTTATCCCTAGTCGCACTCCATCCATGGCTGGGGCACAGTTGGGCAGAGGCAGTACATTAAATAATAAGGTGCTGATTTTAAGTAGTTCTTTTAAGTGTCTTGACCCCTAAGAAAGCTGTTGTGGTTCTCTTATCCCATATTCCCAGGTCTGCCTCTTCACAATAATTCACTCACTCATTCTCTCTCTAGAATTCCTGAGGTGAAGGGAAGTTACCCACCTATGGAAAGGGGCCTAGAAAAAGTTAGAACCTTGGGTGGAACCCTGAAAACAGGAATTTTGTTGAGTATTTAACAAACACCTATCTTGGTCCCAGTGAATCAGTATTTAGCAAGTAACTATCTTGTTAACAATGAACTAGGTACTAAAACATGGAACTAAAACATGGTCCTTCTGCCCTCCTGGGAATCACCAGCAAGTAGAAGTTCTAGCTGTTCAGAACAGCTAGAATCAGGGGGAGCACTTTTACAGCCCTCTTGTCTCCTTATGCCTGAATCCTATCTCAGACCTTTGAGTCGGTTGTTGGAAGTGGGCCCTAGGTATCCATAATTTTTTTAAAAACTCTCCTTAGGAGCGCTGGGATGGGGTGGGTGTGGTGTTATTCTAATGTGCACCCTAAACTGAGATTTGGTACACTGACCCACACAGGAACTTAGGAATGATGCCCTAGACCTGTGTATATATGCAGACCTTCTCATCCAGTACAGGAATATGTCACAAACTCAGGTGGAAAAGCACAGACAGGCTACAAAAAAGGAATAAGGGCTGGGACCTTGCAGTGTTCTCCCAGTAAAATAAAGTGGCCATGAAAATGAGAAACAGGACAGTTTGGGTCTCCAGCAAGAGGTAGGGGCAAAGGACGAATCAATCAGGCGAGTGTAGATAGAGGAGGGGAGTGATTAAACTAAGCCCTGGACATCCCATTAGATCTGGAAGGAGAGACAGACCAGCAAAGAAGGTGAGCAGGAGCTGCAGAGAAGCAGGAGGAAAACCTGGAATGTGGTCTCTGGAAGTAAAGGGGAACTAGTATTAAATGATGCTGAGGAGTATAGAATGGAGAATGGACCGCTGAGGACCGTGCTCAGAGCAATTTCCTGGAGCAAGCAAGCTTGGGCAAGCAAGCCTGACTAGAGTGGATAGAAGAGTGAGGATGAACATTTACGTGAATGTAAACCAGTATTTTGGTCTGAGGGGGCAAATGATAATCAGAGAAGATCGTAGGTTAAAAGATTTTGTTTTCTCCTTCAAGTAAATGGACCAAGGAAGTTCTGTGCTAGGCGTTAGAGACTGAAAACTGTTGAGCAGGCTTAAATCCCTAACCACCTGAGGCCTTCCAGTCAGTTTCCAGACACGCCCGGGGACCAACACTAGATCTGCATAATAGAGGGCAGTAACTGGGCATGAGATAAGTCTGGTCATGCCGAGTCCGGTGGGCAACGGTGGGCAATGGCTATTATCCTGGGGATTCCCCTTCAGTTTCCAGGACATTTTCAGGAGCTGGAGCTCCTCCACCTCACGCCAGCCCTCTTTGCAGACTGCAAGTTCACCTGCCATTACCGCTGCCGCGCTCTCGTCTGCTTGGACTGCTGCGGACCCCGGGACCTGGGCTGGGACCCCGCGCTAGAACGTGACACTAACGTGGTGAGAGAAGGCCCCAGTCTCCCAGGGTACGGGTAGGGGAGACGCGCGGACTGGCAGGCCACAGCGCAGACGTTCGCGGACAGCACAGGCACTGGGCTCAGTAATAGTTCTAATAGCCGGTTTTCCGGCAGCACAACTCTAATTTGGCGCGTAGGTTTGGCGGACTGCCCAAGGATGCCACTGAGGCAGTTCCGAACCAGGCGCATGCGCACTTCCACAACTACGTCCAGTCCTGAGGCGGCGTCCCTGCACATGCGCACACGCTGCAACACATTCCCCCTGGGAGGTGGGGCCTGGAGGTGGGTTAAGCTGCTTGGGCAATGAGGTCATTCCTGGAGGCTCAGCTCGTCTGTCCCCGCCCCCCAGAGTTCCTCCCCCAATGAGACAAGAACTAGATCCTGGCTGTCTACGTTTCAGTCTTAACGGTTGCGGTGTTGCGCTGGCCCCAGCGCAAGCGCACACTGATACGAACGCACACGCGCCGGGGCGGTGGTTGGAGGCTACCGACTCGTAGAACTAGGGGACCAAGCGGGCGCGGCGATGAGTGAGGCAGAAACGCCTTCTTTCGAGATGACCTGGAGCAGCACGACAAGCAGTGGCTACTGCAGCCAGGAGGACTCGGACTCGGAGCTCGAGCAGTACTTCACGGCGCGCACCTCTCTGGTCCGCAGGCCGCGCCGGGACCAGGTGGGAGACAGGGGTTGCCGGCGTCGGGCAAGGGGCGGTCGCTGGAATCCCGCCCCTGCCCGGTAAGTTGCCGCGTGGAGAGTTGGTGGGCAGCCCCACCCTCCTGTTCGCGTGGCTCTATGCGAGTCTGGGCTGGGGCTGGCCCGCGGAACCGTGCGTCCGATTTTTCAGCCCAGTGTAAAACCCCGGTTCCAAAGCGTCGGTACTGGGTGCCTCGGCCTTCTTGCTCTATCACAGACCAGTTGAACCAGGGGAAGCAGCTCTGTAGCTTGGGGTAGACCAGAGACGGGCGTTATTCATCTATGACTAAAGCCAACTTCGCAGCCCGCACAGACCTCTTGGTTTCATGTTTGGGCACTCCCACTGCCTCCCTAGAGGAACTGAAGGAGGAAGTGGAGGAGGAGTACTCTTCGGGAAAGGAGAAGTTTAGGAAGGGAGAGGCCAAAGGAGTTCGGCCCCTGTACATACACTATTGGATGGAGTAAGCTGAGTCCCCAGCCATTACTGGCCCTGGTCTGTCACCAGCTGCTGGACTTTAGAGGATTCCAGTCCATTCTAGAGGGTGAATCTTTGGAAAGGGGATTTGGGGGGACCGGAAGCCTTGTTTTGAACTATAAGGATTCAGGAGCACTTTATCCACAAGAGGGAAGGAAGGCTAGATTGTAAAGTGCCCCGAAAGGGGTGAAAAGAGATTGGATTCCTAATTGAAGATTGTAAAGTGTGTGCAGGGGCAGCTGGGACTTTCAGAGTCCCAGGTGTCTTCATTATCAGAGACTTCTGTGGGCTGTCATGGGTGTAACCACCAACTTCACATAACTGTACCTGGGCCAGAAGACCTCAGAAGAGCATGCAGGCCAGGGCATCAGCAAAGAGAGATGGGCACCATGTAGTACCTGGCAGCAATGGCTCAGAATTCCTTATTTGAACCAAGAAAATGGAGTTATGGATAATGCTTTTGATGAAATTTCACTAAATTCCTTTCAGAAAGAGTGGTGCTTAGTACTTCAAATCTCAGCCCAGAGCTTGAGTAAAAGATTTGAGTGTGGACCCCTAAGATTGTCTCCATGTCCCTCTGCCTAAGCTACCTTCCAATATGGAAAGATGGGTTAAAAAACACAAGAGGCTAGTCAATTGAAAAGGAGAAGCAAAAGGGTGGGGGGCACACCTGTAATCCCAGCAACTTGGGAAGCTGAAGCAGGAGGATCACAAGTTCCAGGCCATCCTCAGCAACTTAGCAAGGCCCTACGAAACTTAGCAACGCCCTATCTCAAAAGAAAATATAAAAGGGCTGGGGATGCAGCTCAGTGGTAAGGTGCCCCTGGGTTCAAGCTTCAATACCCACCACCACCAAAAAAAAAAAAAAAAAAAGGAAGAAGAAAAGGAGACTGAGAAGTCTCAAGGACTATGTAAAATAAAATCATCAGTCACTAGGAATAGTGATAGAATAGAGGGTGGGTTTCTATAGTGCAAGAAGAAAAACTCTGTGATCCTGCTGCACATCCCTCTGGGACACTATTGGGAGTCCTCTTCTACCAGAAAGCTTTGGAAACAGAAAAAGAAACAAAGAAACTTCTTATTCTAGAATAGTACAGTGCATCTAGTCCAAGTCTTTTGCTTTATCAATGAAGATACTGGGGGAGAAGGAAAGGGACTGGGACTGAGGTCAATGTCTTAGTCCAGGGCTCCAGCATAATCCAGGAAGGGAAGGAGGAGGAGTAAATTTTCTCATATCCAGGCTGGAGCCCAGAACTGTCACAAAGAAGGGGAATTAATTAACACCATCCTGTGCCCTTTCTTTTCTATAAAGAGACCACTGTTCTTGCCTCAGCACTTGAGTCTGCTCAGTGTTCCCCCTGCTCCCAGTACCACTTTCATACCATAACCATTACTCCTTCCTGTTGAAGCACTCTTTTCTATCCCAACTTTGAGCCTGAACAACCATATCCACCACTTTCCCAGCCTCCAGCCCTCATTTTATCTGCCAGGTTCCTCATTTTCCAGGGCCACATTGTTAGTTCTTACTAGCCTGACAGGGTTGCCCACTCTTTCCAGCATCATTTCTCCTAGAGTTTTTATTCCTCAGTGCTCTCCCCCATCCAAAAGACCTTTGGAAATTTGGAAGGAAAATGGGCTTTGGCTTCCAACCCAAAACCCTTTTCCTGTGAAGCCTTAGTCCTCAGTCCTCAGGATGCTGACTGGCAGCAGGTTCTGGGTAAAGAGCATACCACTATGCAGTCATGGACTCCCACCATACTCCCTCATCTGCTTCCCCATTCATCCCAATCAGTGGTTTAAGCAAGTTAGAAGGCTCTAAGGCAGCAGTCGGGAGAACCCTTGTTGTCCTGGACTCAGCAGTCAGGGAGAACTCTGATTGTCCTGGGCTTAATTCTATGGAAGACCTAGTAAGAAGTCCTTTGAGACAAGACATTGGTCAGTGGTGATCTCAGTTATAGTTGTGATACTCCCATTCCAATTAAGGCCTATCTGACATCAACAGGAAATAAGGCTGATGCAGTGGGGCCAAATGAGTTTGGTAGAAAGTCATTTCAGAGCCCTGGCTGCCCTGGCCCATCCTCCACCCTTCTGACAAGAATCCATTTCCCAGGGGAAAAGAGAACTAAGTGGTGGAGGTAAAATTTTTTAACTAAATTTCCAGACAGCAGAGGACAGTACAGAAGCCCACCTGCTTGACAGTTGTAGAACAGGCTCTACCAGGAAGTTACCTGTTCAGCTCCAGTAGCCCAGCCTGAAGCTGCCTTTTGTGTACCTTGGATCAATGCTAAATGACCTGTCACAGTGATTTCCTCACTATGTCTGAGACATGGAGGGGTAGTCCCAAGAATCTCACCAAGGAGTGTTGACATTGTAGACATCACTCTTCCCCTCCTGTCCACTGGTGGACTAGAGTAGGATGTGCATCAGTCCCACACCTCCTACTTTGCAATGGGTTGTGGCCTCATGCTAGGACAGAGTGAAAAAATGGGCTACTTTCTCTAGGACAAACCCTGACTCCAAGCCAACTCTAGGGTGCCAAGACCCTAGAGTTGGGCTGTGCAGTTGGAACAAGGGTTTGCTATATTTTATTTTTTTGTGAGGAGGTTCTGGGGATCAAACCCAGGGCCTTGCCTATGCTAGGCAAGAACTCTGTTACAGAGCTACACCTTAAGCCCCAGAGTGTAGTTTTACTTTAAATTAGAGTCCCTTCACAGAGTCTCACCATATACCTGGCCATATACCTTCAGTTGACCCTGACTCTTTGATCTTCTTAGGGCCATATACAGTGCTGAAATTACCCTAGGCAGGCAGTGAAGAAAAGCCAAATGATTCTACTTTTGCCATCTACACCCATAACATGCAGAACCAAATGGGTTCAGAGTACATGGGTTTAGTGACTGGGCCAAAGGTAGTCAGGTTTGTTTTTGTATTTTATTTAGAGACAGAGTCTTGATGAGTTGCTAAATTTGAACTTATGATCCTCCTGCCTCAGCCTCCCAAGTTGCTGGCATTACAGGCATGTGCCACTGCACCTGGAAGCAGTTAGTTTTTAAGAGCTGCTGCAGAGGCCATTTTTCATAGAAGCCCTGAGTTCCTCAAGGGCCTGTTTCCATGCTGGCCTTCTTTTAGGATGATCCTGTGGAATGGAAGATACCTAATCTTTCTCAGGCTGAGATTGAGCAGAAGATCAAGGAGTACAATGGGCAGATCAACAGCAACCTCTTCATGAGCCTGGTGAGTTGACTACTCAGACAGAGGAAGGGAGTCTGGACAAGGGCAATTACCCAGCTATGTGCCTGATGCCCAAAGAATCTTAGACAAGGTATTCTTGGGTGGGCCCAAGCAACAATTTATGCATACCCAGCCTAGCCCCAAGTGCACAGACAGAACCTTAGACTGTTCTGTCTTACTTGGAACTTATTATCATGGTTGGTTTTTCTTTCTTTTCAGAACAAGGATGGCTCCTACACAGGCTTCATCAAGGTTCAGCTGAAGCTGGTCCGCCCTGTCTCAGTGCCCTCCAACAAGAAACCGACCTCCTTACAGGATGCCCGGAAGGGCCCAGGGCGGGGTACAGCTGTGAGGCGACGGACTTCCTTTTACCTACCCAAGGATGCTGTCAAACACCTGCATGTGCTGTCACGCACACGGGCACACGAGGTTATTGAAGCCCTGCTGCGCAAGTTCTTGGTGGTGGATGATCCTCGCAAGTTTGCACTCTTTGAACGAGCTGAGCGTCATGGCCAAGGTAGGCTTCCTACCCTGTCCTACCCTTTGTGAAGGTATGTATGCATACATCCATTGCATGCAGGTGCTAAGGCTGCTAGGCCTGTCTATAATCATATATCCCTTTCCCCTTGCCTCGCTTTAAGTGTACTTGCGGAAACTGTCAGATGATGAGCAACCCCTGCGTCTACGACTCCTTGCAGGACCTAGTGAGAAGACCCTGAGCTTCATCCTAAAGGAGAATGACTCTGGGGAGGTGAATGTGAGTACACAGTCTTCCTTATTTTCTTGGTTGTCACTGGACAAGACTGATGGGCTAGAGCTACAATAAGGCTTAGAGGAAGAATCAGGCTGGGAAAAAAAGCTCTACAAGGCCTAGGCCTATCCCAAGAAACCAGGAAGAATTTTCTTGGTGCTTTGTTTTCTCCTCTGCAGGTTCAGGAGTCCATCTGACAGTATGGTGAGCCCAGACCAGATCAGAACTACATATATGGGCCTAGGACAGCATGGATGCTCTCCTTCAAGCATTAATAATGGTTGAGGGTATAGCTTAATGATACAACGTATTCTTAGCATGCACAAGGCCCAGGATTCTATCTCCAGCACTGGATTTATAGCCCAGTGAAGAGCATTTGCTTAGCATGCATTAGGCTCTGCATTTGATTCCTAGACCTATTAATTAAAAAATAAAAGAAAAAAAATGACTTTTTAGAAGCTGTCTGACTACAAGGTATTGGGTCTATGGAGTAGTATTAGACTCAGAGTGTGAGTACAACCTGTCCACAGGAAACTGGGGAACATTCTATTTGGTTGCCTCTCAGTGAGGTGACTATTTTGTAGGATCCATCTTCTATACAGATTGCTGTCAGGAATCCAGCATAGACTATTGAGGCATGAGCCAAATATTAGAAAAACCCAATCCTGGCTTATGTGACCATGATATGTTGGTCTTCTCTGGGGATGGTCTTCCAGTTTGGCCATATATACTGCAGCCTATATACCTCCCCTCTGCTCCCTTGCAGTGGGATGCTTTCAGCATGCCTGAACTACACAACTTCCTACGCATCCTGCAGCGAGAGGAAGAAGAACACCTCCGCCAGATCCTGCAGAAGTACTCCCATTGCCGCCAGAAGATCCAAGAAGCCCTGCATGCCTGCCCCCTGGGGTGACCTCTCCTACCTCTGGGTGGCAGGAGGAGAGTAGGCAGTGCCAAGAGCGTGCCGTGTGAGTGTGATAGGGCCCATGGGGCCTGAGGAATGAGTGTGCGTGGAAGCCCTCCCCCATTGGGGGAATGAGCCCAGAGAACAGCGAAGAAGCTGGCCCCCTGCATCCACCAGTGGGTGAAGCAGAGTATGTCTTTGCATCTCTTTGCCTTTCGTGTACTGGGTCATGGTGAGCCAGGACTTCCCTGGGGAGCTGCTCCAGGCTTGCAGCAAGGGTGGAGCAGAAAGAATCTCTTTAATTCATGTCTCAGATGTGATAATCTTGGAGACCCTACAAACAGAACAGGATCAGTTTGCAGGGTTGAGGACCCTCAACCTTGGGGAAGGTTGTGTTTTGGGTCTTGAATAGAGTTTCTGGATAACCCTATCAGAGCCATGGGTGGGTGCTCAGAATAAGGCAGGCATCAAGATAGAGTCTAGGTTTCCTTCTAGTGCCTTCTGACTCCTCATACACTCTGAGGTCAGGGAGTGCTGGTATACAGTACAGCCACAGTGCCTCAGTACCTCCTCCAAAGAGGATATCCCTGGGTCAGTCTAGGGTCTGTGAATGTGGGCACTCTGCCAGCCCCATTCCTTGTTTGCCAGGCAAAGCCAGGGTCTGTCTCAGATATTTTTGATGAAGTGTGTGAATGTATGTAGTGTTTTGTGGCCTCAAATGAATGCCTCCTGTGGGAAAAGGGATGGGGGTGACAGTCATCATCAGGGCCTGAGGCCTGAGAGAATTGGCTGAATAAAGATTTTAAGAATCCTGCTTTTGTATTCTCTTTTGTGGGCCTGCTGCCATGGTTGCCATGACAGCAGCTGCCAAGGTTGATGGACAGGCTCACAGGGCATCTTTTGCAAGGTCAGCATGGACCATGTAAAGATGTATACATATTTGGTGACCTAAACTGCAGTGGAGTTGAAACTTCCCAGAGGGGCAAGGGTAGACCAGCCCCAGCCACTGGGCCAACTTCCAATCATTCCAGGTAGAAAAGCTTTGCCCATAACACTCTGTGACAGCCTGTACCCAGGATGCTTCCCATACTGCCTGCCCAGGTACACTCTGTGGGCTGTGACAGCACCCAGAGGGGCCTGGGAGGTGGAGCTGCTGACAGGTGCAGGGACCTATTTGGTTGCAGCCTGTGCTCTAGAGATGTCTTATATAGGCTGTTATTTGTTATGAATACACATCCAGCCCTTATCCTGGGGTGGGGGGAGTGTGAATTGTTTCAGTCATCATTCAGCACATTGGGACCCAGGCAGTGATGGGGGCAAGAATAGGCTACAGCCAGAGTTTAGGGGAAGCCATTCTCTCAGCACACACCAACAACTGAGAGAAGTTGTTTTTATTCATCAGCTGCTATGGACTAGACATGAAGGGACAGCCATTTAGAATTCTTGTTTTCGTGAAGCATGCATTCAGGTTGAATTTGGAAAGAACATTGAAGTTCTAAATACCTCAGTGTAACTATAAGACATTTTGGCCAGTTCCTTAATTGTCCTTGGGCTCCATTTCTTTACATATGATGGTAACCACCACAAAACACCATTGTGAAAATAGAAGCCAGACAAGTACTCCACAGCCTGGCCTGGGTCAGGTCCTAAAGTGCTGGTTCAAAGTGGTTGAGTTGAGGAGGCCCCACTGGGCTTGAGTTCTGGAGATCTGGGACGTTGGAAATGCCGTACATGGCAACCAGTACGCCGAAGAAGCCAAGAGAACAGCGCTGTCACAGCTCTACTGGGAGGGAGCTGTCCCAGCTGGCGAGAGCGTGGCCTGCCGGGACCTGAGGTCTTGCAGAGCATGCTGGGATGCCCAGTATCTGAGGATAGCCATTGGCTCTGCCCCACGGACCGACGAGCGCTGCAGCCAATCAAAGAGGGCAGCGTGCGGAAGCGGAAGTGAGGTTTCCGTGGAGACAGAAGAGCCTGCGGAAGGCGGCGGCGGCGGCAGCGGCAGCACCTGCAAGCGGAGGCTGGGGCAGGGCATGATAGAGCCTACTGCACTGTGAGAGCGCAGCGGCCGCGGGGTCCGCCATGCGCTGGCGGCCCTGACATGGGCGCCAGCGGCTCCAAAGCTCGGGGCCTTTGGCCCTTCACCTCTACAACAGGGGGCGGCGGCTCGGAGGCAGCGGGCAGTGAACAAGCTTTGGTGCGGCCTCGAGGCCGCCCGGTGCCCCCCTTCGTATTCACGCGCCGCGGGTAAGGGCGTGGGCTCTGCTTCTGGGAGGACAGGCAGGCGGCCGGGTACCCCACACCACCGAGACCTCCTGTCACCCGACCCCCTACACCCCAGTTAGGACGACTTCGGTCTTTCGGGTCCCCATCCAAGCAAAGGGTGGGGAAAATCGGGAGTAGATTCCTGGAGGCCTGGCTGCTCTAAAGGTCTCTCTAGAGAAGGGTACAAGATCTTAGGCTTGTCTCTGGGCAGGCACGCCCCACAGTAAAGCTAAGATAGGGCCTTTGTGATATCTCCTGACCTCTTTTGTGCATCTCTTCAAACTTAGTTCGCAAATTGAAGGCTTTTACCCTCCTCCTCTTCCCCCCAGTTCTTCCAATGGAAGAATAACTGATTAGGCTTCATCCCTTTCCCCCATAGTAGTAAGGTTGGACTTCTGAGTAGTGACTGGGAAAGCAGGGTAGGGCCCCAGTGTTGAGTATGAGGGGGCGAAGGGTGGACGGCAGGATCCTCACTCCTTTATATTCTCCAGATGTGGAGTGCTGACCTAAACCCCAGGTTCTCCACACAATAGCATCAGCATGACCTCATGTGGATGGGCACTCCCTATGATGGAGATTTGGCTGTAGATACCAGGAGATCCAACAGTGGAAATTTGACTGCACCAGCCACTTGAAGCAGGGATGCAGTCTTCCTCCTTTTAGGTTCCTTCCTAGATCAAAACATCTGCTCACAATCTTTGGCACTAGGCCAGTTGTCTTCTGGAGTGAAACCAACATGCCCATGCTACCACCCTGCCCGCTCTCTAAGTCCTGGATGAAGGGACTGATATTGGAATGGCTGTTCTCACACAACAGATCAGTAATGGAAATTAACTTCGGTTGCCTGGATAGTATGCTGTGGTATGGGTTCTCTTCTTGAGGGTATAACAGAGTAACACTAGCCAATGTTCCGCTCCCCGGTTCCTTCTAGTAGACCGTAAACCTAAGCAAAAGGATTCTCCAGCTGTAGTGTCCTCTCTTCTTCCCACCAAGATTGTTCCTCCCCAGTTGGGGTTGGGTACACTTCCCTGTGATCTGTGGCATTTGCCATGACCAGGTGTGGGGCTCAAGCCCAGCCTGTTCTCTTCTTCCTCTACACAGCTCCATGTTCTATGACGAGGATGGGGATCTGGCTCATGAGTTCTACGAAGAGACAATCGTCACCAAGAATGGGCAGAAGCGGGCCAAACTGAGGCGGGTGCATAAGAATCTGATTCCTCAGGTGAGGGATTGGTAGAGGTCATAGAACCTTCATCAAGTATGTAAAGGTAGACCCAAGTGGGGTCTACTGGGGGAGGAGCTAGGAGGATCAGGAAGCTTCCTGAAGTAGACACCCTGAGTTGACCCTCATAGCCTTTGTTTCCATGGCAGGGCTTCGTGAAGCTGGATCCCCCCCGCCTCCATGTGGATTTCCCTGTGATTCTCTACGAGGTGTGAGCCTGGGAGATGGCATACACAAACACCGACTGCCTCAGCAAGAAACTCCCAGACTTGAGGTGTGGTTTCCATTGAGGAGCCCAGGCCGAGGCCACAACCCTGAATAAACTCCACTGGCCCAGAACCTTTGGCTGTGAGCAGGGCAGTCCCTCGGTGTTAATTGTATATTGGTTTGTGTGTGGACAGGAGGTGGTTAGTGACTGGTGAAGGCTAATGGCAGATTTACCAGCCCACCCTCCCCAGCCACCCCTGCAAGAAACATGGCAGGGCATATGCCAGTCAGGAATGCCTGGTTCCTGGTTCCTTGCCTGGCCTGCTTCCTTCCAAGCTTTCCCAGGGCCAAGCCCTGCTAGAAGCTACAGCACTTTACAAATAAAGTCTGCCTTCTTCCAGCCCCTGGGCTATGGGGGCTTTACACAAAAGAGAACTTCCTTTCCCCTCACTTTCCGTACCCCCTAGTTGGAGCATTTCAGCCATTTGCTACCTCGATTCCTCCTGTATTGGACAGAGGCTGGGGGCAGCACCAGCCTGATTCTTCCCACCTACCTGCCATTTGTTCCCACTTTCAGATGGACAGTTTGCTGGCAGTTAATAGAAATGGGGACTGTTGTGAGAGGCTTCTCCCTTCACCCAGGGCTGGAGTGATCCTTACCCACTGCAATTAATTGTTTATCCTTCCCCTATTTGAGAGAGTGCAGGCCAGGGTCAGGATGGGCTGTGGATGCCTGTGCATATGGGGAGTTGCCCCAAGCTACCCATTCTTTGTATCAGCCCCCCACACCACTTGGGAGCGAACTGTCTACTACCCTGTGGTAAGGAACAACACACTAGGGCTGGTGTGATTAGCTATAAGGAGCCCACCACCCTTCCCCTACAGTATCCTCACCCCTTCAGTATCATTTAAGGGAAAGTACTGGATCCCCTTGGTAGACACAAAAAGGAAGGGTTTATGTTTTACATAAAAGGAATACTTAAAATGTGAAGGTTTGTAAATAGTCTAGTCTATGATGATGTTGGGACAGAGTCTGATTTCTATATAGAAATTACTTTTTTTTTTTTTTTAATTCTTATTGTGCAAAATCTGTGCTTCTAGAGTATGGAAAATGGCTTGGGGAGGGTGGTCCCCAGCATATGAAGACTGTTGTGTTATTTGTTCAATTTCAATAAAATTATTTGTAGATCCTGCAAATGAGTATGGCATCCTCTGGACAGTGTCTAGACTACTTTCTGGAATCAACAGGTAGGCCTGGGCCCAGGACTCTGGCAGGCTTACCATTTCCTGCATGGACCTAGAAAAAGCCTGAGCTCTAACTGTGGCAACTCCAGCTGTGGCCAGCAGGTGGCCGTGTATTCATACTGGGCCTGTCAGGATGCGGGTACTACTTACCTGTCTTATTGTGTTCAGAGCGGTGGAAATCCCTGGAATCAGAGGTTGTAGTGTTGCTTCACTAGGAATTAGTCCCACCTGACCTAAGGTGAGAGTATGACCCTAGATAGTTCTGGTCCCAATATTGCTAGCTGACCTCAAGTGAATTGATATCCTGAGCCCCAAGGACTTAAAAAAAGGCCCAGACATGCATGGACAGTATACTGCCAGGCATATATAAACTTCATCTGCTTCTTCTCCCAGACCACCACTGGGAGAGTGAGCTCTGGACTTCCTTTCCAACCTTCAATACTTCCTTCTGTTCTCTGCTGCCTGTGCTATAGACTCCCCACCACTACCACCACCACCACCACCACCACCACCACACACATACACACTAGGGATTGAACTCAGGGCCTCTTGCATATTATATAAACATACTACCATAAAACTATATTACTGGTCCATTAAAAAAAAAAAACAGGTTTTTGCTAAATTGCCTAAGCTGGCCTTGAATTTATGATCTTCCTACCTCAGTCTCCTGAATGGATGTGATTACAGCCTCCTGAATAACACCACCACACCTGGCTTGCCTGTGAACATTCTGCCTACAGGGCCTGCTGTGAAGCAGGTTTTCTGCTAGGCCATCAGTTCAACTCCCAGTTAAGAAGGGGGAAATTCAAGGACCCAGGCTTCTAGGTTTGGGAAACTGGCCTACCAGTCTTTCAGAGGCTTGAATTTGTCACATCTGGAGTAGGATCACTCTGTGCAGCCTGGACTTGAAGTTCTGTGAGCTGTCTTCCCATTCCCCTTAAGATGCCAAACCTAAGGCCCTGTCACCCTCCACTCCACCCTACTGTCTGTTCAAAGGCCAGCACTCTCCCATAACAAACAGCATTCTATCTCCCACCATCATTATCCCAGCCTGAAGGAACTCCCTGTGCTCAGCCTTCTCAGCTGACCCCAAAGCTGGAAACAATGGGAGTCAGGCAGTGCTTCCCCACTCCCTCCCACTGGGCTGTGCTCACTTCCTTCCTGCTGACAGCTTGAGGAAGTGTCCCTGCCCTGGGACAGTCTGGTCCGGCCTTTGTTTTCCCAGGGGTCCCCACCCTGGTAGCTTCCTAGGCCTCTGTCCCTTCTGAAGCCAGCACAGTGGTACAGGGACACTGCACCCACTCTTGTCATATCCTGGACTCCTGGGTCCTCACAGCCAGCCTCCAGATTATGCACTCACCTCCCCCAGACTCCCACACAGCCAGGAGAGGGGCCCTGTGCATTGGAGAGGTGAAGCCAGCCACATGAACGTCCCCTCCCAAAGAAACACCCCGCTTCTCTCTCCACTTTGGCAAAGAGCCACTCTGTAGTGGACTCAGTGAAATCTCCCCAGGAATGTCCTCCAGCTGGATAGCACTCTGCAGGCCCTGCCCCACCCCTATCCCACAGTCACACACATCAAGTATTGTCCTCTCTGTCACACTTGAGACACTTCTGCTCTTGGTGGAAAAAAAAAGAAAAAAATTGACCCAGCTCCCGGAAGTTCCCCCAACTCTCTCCCCCATCTCCCAGGATTGGTTCCCTTTTTTGGCACCTGCTGTAGGAGGCCATCAGTTGAACACCCCCCAGATAGTTTGACTCTCCCAAAAGACCGAGGCCTGTACCTCCTCACACCCTACTATATGAGAATGAGCCCAAACCCCAAGGAAAAGTTGGTGAGGAGAGTTAAGGAAATTGTGGGCCTCGGGGAGACTGACTCCTGATCCTGGAGGCTCATAGCCTTCCTGTCACCTGGCACAGCTGGTGAGGCCAGATCCTGCAGGAGAAGGGTGGGGAGGGCAGCCAGCCAGGAGAGCAAGCCAGAGGAAAACAGGGTCAAGGCAATCTCCTCCCCCGCGCCTTTCCTGGCCTTTTCCTCTCAGAGGGGCAGCAGGAAGTGAGGAGAAAAGGCTGGAATGGGAGGCGGGAGCTGGTGGGAGGGAATGGGGTTTATCAAGTCGCCAGCGGGCTGCCTAGCGGGCAGCAGCTGGTGAAAGTATCCTGGCTGGAGAAGTTCACTCCAGGAAGGAGGGAGGCCGCCGACCTACTGGGCCGACGGACTCCCAGACAGGTGAGCCCAGCGCAGACTGCAGAAGGCTGGTAGTCTCCGTTGCCATAGATGGACTTGCTGTGGCGCTACCTATCTCTCCTCTCAGGCGCCGGGCGGGGAAGGGGCTGGCGGCGCAGACGCGGACCTTTGAGGGAGCGGTCCCGCACTGCGGAGCGGATTTAAGAAGAGGCGAGGTCTTGCACAGGGCTCGTCCTGGTCCTGCTCCAAGCCTGCTCCCCCATCAGGAGGAGCCTGAGAAACGAAAGAGCTCGGGATACCTAACCAAAGCCTCGGGGGGTCCCTACTGTTGGCTTTATCCAAGGTCTGGCCAGAAACTTCAGTTAAGAGTGACTCCCTTATGAAGATATGAGGGAGATCCCGGGGAGTTCTCAGGGACTGGGCAGGAGCGGATCCCAAGGATTGGCTGATCCTGATATGGGCTGGGAGGACTCGGGGCACCCCACCTTCCCCCTGGGACCCGCCAAGCTTCCCTACCCCAACCCTTCCCGCCTCGCAGTGACCCACAGTCGAGGTTGCCAGACAACTGCTGCCTCTGCCTTACTAAGACTAGGGCTAAGAAGTGGTGCTTGGTCCCTTACCCGAGACGGGCAGTGGGCGGGGCTTCCCTTCAGACCGCAGCCAAGAGGACAGGATTCGGAATTCGTAGGAGGCGGGGCATTACTATTCTTGGAGGCCCCATCGGCTCAGGTCAAAGTCCTTTTCTCAACACAAAGGGGCCCCAGTGCTGGCGTCTACTACATTCAAGGTTGCAAAGTTCGATGAGCAGCTGCCCCAGTCAAGGCCTCGGAGTACTACAGCACCTCCTTATGGCCGAGCGGGGGAACGCCACCGTCCTTTATTCCATACACCCGGTTTCCCCCTCCCCACCCTTATGCTGTCCCTTTAAGAGGTTGACTCCACAGAGAAGAAGAGAGGATTGTACCACCAGCAACGGACTGTGGGGAGAAAAATCTCAGGCCGACTGACACTAGTGGCTAGCACTTGACCGGAAATCCTCGTTAGAAGGGGCTTCAGATCTCAAATAGATGGTCACGTTTCTCTGCAGAGGATCTAGGGGATCCTCCAACCTGAAACTTAGCACTGGCGACGAGAAAGGCAGACACACCTACCCGCCGGGAACCCAATCCTGTTCCCCGCCCACCGCGGAGCTGGACTCTTAAAGGGCCAGAGGGCCTGGGGGCGGAGAGGTAGCAGAGGTGCTGAACCAGTGCCGGGCTTGAGCGAAGGGCCGGAGCGGCTAGGCTGGGTCCAGGATGGCGGCGGCCCTGGCGCGGGTCCCGGTGGCGCCCCGCGTGAGGTGAGGGCGGGCGATGCAAACATACAGCTCTCCCCTGGCGGGCTGAGCTCTGAACTCCCGGGGGTGCTCCCCGAGAGGGGGCCTAGGAATCTCACCCCCACCCGGCGGGGCTTTGACCCCACGTGCGGGGCGGGGGCGGGGTCCCAGCACAAAGGCCAGGCGAAGTGCCCTCTACCCGGGACCCATCGGTCTCGTTGTGGGCGCGCGCGCATTCCCCGTGGCTACGGAGGGAAAAGCAGGTCTGTCCGCTGGGCTGTGGGAGATCCACTGTCCCTTTGTCCCCGCGGGCCCTCCTCCAAGCCTGAGAGAGTGCCTGCGTATACGACTAAGTCCTGACAGCGGGTGTTGCACCGATACAGCTCCGTGGCCGTGTTCTTTCCAGCTTCCTAGCATCTGTATGAGTTGCGTTCTCTAACCAAATGCTTAGTTTCTGTGGATCAAGGGTTCCTCTCAGGGTACAAGGTGAAGTTCAGGGCTTTAGGGTTCACTGAAACCATGCACTGGAGGTTTGCAGGACATGTATAGGTTCTGGCAGCAGGTCCATAGCTTCATTCATTCAGTTCCCAGAAGGGTCACAGACCTAACAGATTCTTGACCAGCCATAGGCTACCTGTTCCACGAAGGAGCCATATGCTCCTGGTAGTGAGGCCCCAGGATACCTTGCCTGTCCTTCAATGGCCTGTTGTCTCTCAAACCTGTTACAGCTGTGGATGGTTCTGAACTGCCAGGGGTACTGTGTCCCACATAGCATTGGGGCACTTTTGGAGCATAGATGGGCTTAAAGTGGGTACCTCCAGGATTCTCTAGACTGATTTTTTTCTCTCCCACCCTTCATTTAGTTCCTAAGCTGGTGCTAAGCAGGTGACACTTCCTGTAGCCCCCAGCATGCTGGCAGGCCTGGGCCCCACCATCACACTGGCCTTGGTGCTAGCGGTGGCATGGGCCATGGAGCTCAAGCCCACAGTGCCACCCATCTTCACAGGCCGGCCCTTTGTGGTAGCATGGGATGTGCCCACACAGGACTGTGCCCCACGACACAAGGTGCCACTGGACCTGAGTGCCTTTGATGTGGAGGCTTCACCTAATGAGGGTTTTGTGAACCAGAATATCACCATCTTCTACTACGACCGTCTAGGCCTGTATCCACGCTTTGATTCAACTGGGACATCGGTGCATGGTGGTGTGCCACAGAATGTTAACCTCCGGGCACACCTACAGATGCTGAAAAAACCTGTAGAGCACTATATTCGCACCCAGGAGCCTGCAGGGCTGGCAGTCATTGACTGGGAGGACTGGCGGCCTGTGTGGGTGCGCAATTGGCAGGACAAGGATGTGTACCGCCAGTCATCACGCCAGCTGGTAGCCAGTCGGCACCCTGATTGGCCATCAGACCGAATAGTCAAACAGGCACAATATGAATTTGAGTCCAATGCACGGCAGTTCATGCTGGAAACACTGCGCTATGTCAAGGCAGTCAGACCTCGGCACCTCTGGGGCTTCTACCTCTTTCCTGATTGCTATAATCATGATTATGTACAGAACTGGGAGAGCTACACAGGCCGCTGCCCTGATGTTGAGGTGGCCCGCAATGACCAGCTGGCCTGGTTGTGGGCTGAGAGCACGGCTCTCTTTCCCTCCGTTTACCTGGACGAGACACTAGCTTCCTCTGCTCATGGCCGCAACTTTGTCAGTTTCCGTGTTCAGGAAGCCCTTCGTGTGGCTCACACCCATCATGCGAACCATGCACTCCCAGTCTACGTCTTCACACGGCCCACCTATACCCGCAAGCTCACAGGGCTTAGTAAGGTATGTTCCTTCCAGGGTGCTGCTTTCTTCCTCCTTCTGGGAACCACTGTATGTTTGGTTACTAGGGCCATGGTTTGCTGGCTATGCCATGTCTCTTCAAATAACTATATATAGGAGCTGAGGGCATATGGCTCATTGGTAGAGCACTTACCTAGTACACACAAGACCCAGGGTTCAATCCCCAGCACCACAAAAATAAAATAAGCTTAAAAAATTATTAAATGTTATAGTATTAAATATAATGTTAAATGTTATAATATTAAAATTATAATATTGTGAAAGGGTGACATTGTTATATAGATAAAATTGAGGCACAGAGACATTAAGAGGTTTGCCAAAAATCTCCAGCAATACCAGTCACAGCAATACATGCCTGTAATCCCAGCAACTCGGGAGGCTGAGGCAGGAGAGTTGCAAGTTCAAGGCCAACCTGAGCATCTTAGTGAAACCCTGTCATAATATAACAGGCTGGGGATATAGCTCAGTGATAAGCTACACTATGTCAATTCCCAGTACCCACCCCCCCCCAAAAAAAAAAAGCCTCCAGCAAATCCAGGACAGCTTAGAGACTTGGATCCAGGTATTCTGACTTTGGAGTCTATCCTGGTAGATACTCTGTAGACTCATGTATACTCTTAGCCTGGGAGATTGAGGCCCAAAGTGGGGTTGGAAATGAACTTAAATATTTAAGGAAAAAGTGAAACAGGTAGAGTTTCTGCTTGGAGGGAAATAAGGGAGGATTATATTGCAGAGTCAGTAGGTCAGAACAGTTCTATCTACCCAGTCCTTTTTCCTTCTGTGGTTTCAGTCTTCCCCAGTGATTGTCCCCTTTCCACACAGATGGACCTTATCTCTACCATTGGCGAGAGTGCAGCCCTGGGTGCAGCTGGTGTCATCCTCTGGGGTGACTCAGTATACACCTCAAGTATGGTAAGTGAGACCTTCCCCGCTGGTCAGAACTGCATCTACAAAAACAGGCAAATTTAGCCGGGTGTGGTGGTGCACATCTGTAATCTCAGCAATTTGGAAGGCTGAGACAGGAGGATCATCTGTTCAAAGCCAGCAACATATCGATATCTTGTCTCAAAAAATAAAAAGGTCTGGGGATATGGCTCAGTGGTTAAGAACCCCTGGGTTCAACTCCTGGTACAAAAAAAAAAAGGCAAATTTGGACTTTTTTCTCCCAATCTCACTTAAGTATGCAAACCTAGTCAGACTCCAGGAAAGAGGAAATGCTGCCCTGAACAACCATAGAGTTCCGCCTTTTCCTGACTTCCCAGCTGTGTTGCAGCTTCTGCCCTTCTCTTCAGGAACAGGGACTGTGAGGGCTCAGGCATGCGCGTGTGTGTACACAAATAAGTGTGCTGTTAAAAAGAGGTTCTGTTGGGCTGGGGGTATAGTTCAGTGATAGAATACTTGCCTAGCATGCACAAGGCCCTGGTTTAATAATCCTACCACAGTGTGAACACAGTTTCTATCGGCCTTGTGGGCCCAGGCAGCAGCTGACCCTGACCTGTTATCCTCTTGTTATCCTCTGTTTACCCCCAGGAGACCTGCCAGTACCTCAAGAATTACCTGAATCAGTTTTTGGTCCCCTATGTAGTCAATGTGTCTTGGGCTACCCAGTATTGCAGCCGGGACCAGTGCAATGGTCATGGGCGCTGTGTGCGCCGCAACCCCAGCGCCAATACCTTCTTGCACCTCAGCGCCAGCAGCTTCCGCCTAGTGCCTGGCGGAGCACCTGGTGAACCCCAGCTGCGACCTGAGGGGGAGCTTAGCCGGGCGGACCTCAACTACCTGCAAACGCACTTTCGCTGCCAATGCTACTTAGGCTGGGGTGGTGAGCAATGCCAGTGGGACCATAGGCGGACAACTGGAGGTGCCAGTGGGGCCTGGACTGGTTCCCATTTCACCAGTCTGCTGGCTTTAGTAGCTGTGGCCCTCACCTAGACCCTATAGGAATCTCCTATCTGGCTACCAAGCCAGCTGGCTTCTGCCACAAGGGCTTTCCTGGGCATGTGAGAGCCTATAGGGGGTAGACAAACTAGAGTCTGGAGGGGCAGAGCCCCCAAGATACCCAGCAGGGCATCCATATTAGCTGTCACACCCCTGTTCTAAGGGGGAGGGAAAGTCCCCTAAGAGGCCCCTTTCTACCTGTCAGAGGGGAAGGAGAATACAGCTGGGTTGGGGAGGGCCTGACCCTACTCCCCTGCCCCTGGATAGTTTATTATTATTTTGGGGTCTCTTTTGTAAATTAAATATGAAATAACTGTTTCTGTGCTTGTTATTTCTACTTCTGACTTGGGGTTTGAGAGAGTCCAGGGTTGCCCATGAGGTTGAGCCTAGATCTCTGAAATCTTCTGGGAACTTCTTACCTGTAAAATGTGTTCACCAGGATTGACCTGGGATACCAGAGCTGCCTACTCTGAAGCTGTCCTGCTGAGACACGGGCCACTGAGAGTGGAGGGACCCACACTCCCAAGCTAGCACCAAAGACCTTGCTTTCTCCACATTGAATAAAATGGAATTGGTTCTAACCTTGTGTGAGGGACAGAGCTTGATGTGCTTCTGCCACTTGCCCCTACACCCCCAGCTAGGCCAGTACCAGCCTTGCCCATCAGGGAGAAGTTGATATTTGATCTTTCCTGCTATTTTCAAAGGCAAGGGCATCTACTCTGCTCACTGCTCCCAAGGGCACTGGACTTATACAATATCAACCTCT